ATAAATTACCCTTAAAATAAAATAAGTAAAATGGTTATCACTATATAATAATTGTAATTCTTAAAAGGCCCAATTGCTGTTAGTACAATAAGCCTAAAAAACAGTWGGCCGTATGGAAAAATAATAAGTAATTCGCAAACAGGCTTCCCCATTGTATCTTTATAAAGAGCCTAATCATTTAGCAAAAAAAAAATTAATTTTTGGTATGACCTACGTATTTAACGTATTTCTTAGTATAAGCACTTACTAAAAAAATTTTTATTTTCTTTACATAAGGTTTTATACCGTGCAGTAATTACTAATTATCTTAACTTAGCAATATTTAGTACCTAAATATACTTATAGAAGCTATACGTCTAAGTGTCTACGCCCTATAATACACTTTAGGGTTATTATAACAATAACAGACAACAGTTGGATACATATAACTATATAAGTATAATTTATAAGTGTTAATAGCTCCGCATAGGCGGAGTCTGATTTCTTTGATAACTTTATTTTTTTGCATTTATTTAAACAACCATATTTAAATACCGTAATATTTTCAAAAACATAATGTGTCATTGATCTCCAACTTGAAACAGATTAAAAATTACTTAAAATCAATATAAGTATTTATTTATCATTTTTTTTTTTATACACTTTGGTACTATAATTGTATAATACGCATTTACAATATAGGCACCGTGTGATTGTGGTCTATAATGGTGCCGAATGTTTTGTACTTGCATTATTCGATTATAATAGCCATTAATAGGTTAGTAATAAGCAATATAAAATAATAAAATGTTTATTGTGTGTTCAGGGGTGTTCAGCTGACCCTGCCCTCCCTTGGTCMYRCATATATATATTTTTCCATATTTTATAGAACAGTATAATGACCTCATCTAGCACTTCTGGCCTTCTAGAGTCATCGGTTAAACCACCGAAAAAAAAGTACTAAATTATTTATTAAGCCCATGTGTCCAAWCCTCCAATAACACTAAGTACATATATGTATACCAAAATATTATGTATCTACGGACCTACCTTTTAAATTTTAATAGTAGCTAGGTACCTATTGATCTATTGTTCTATTATTTATTACACCGAATAATTGCTAATGTGGGCTGAACTGAACGATCCCAGGAGTAGAGGTGTAACATAATATAACATATTTTAATTATAATAATATACGTACGTAATAAAGTTATTATGAAAACTAGTAATAATATAGGCCACAATTCATGTTTATTTACGCAAAAASTAAATAATCAAGTAYACTTTTTTTTTATTTATTTKATAAATGTTGGGTTAAATTGCTCTGAATAGTCTTCTTTATTCAATAAAACTATGAACTATGGTTATTGCTGTTCTAAAATCGTTTAGTATGTAATGTTGCCAAGTTATACTAATTAAACGTCCAAAACATACAACATGTCAATAGGTAACTGCAATATTAAAGACGTGTTTAGAGTGTAGATAAATTTATACAAGTGTGTTCCCCAATAAACCTCAATGGCGATGATGCATTCCACAAGTAGTTACATTTCTATAATATTCTGTCCAAGGTCGTTTCGTGTACCTACGAATGTTCAATACATTACCTATGTACTTTAAATTAGTAGGTAATATGAGGTACCTACCTAATGCATTATTTAGGTAGGTTGGTAGGTATTTACCGAGGAACGTGGACGTAGAACCATATCTACATGGGTAGAAAGGTACTAAAAATTACGTACTATGACTATGTGTATCACCACGATTCGTGTGCGATTTATGTGCACGTACATACAAATTCTTGTAAATAATCCATAAATGGAATTTTCTCTCAAGGTAGGTAGGTAGGACAAGTCACAGTCACCGGACAGGTATTTTAGAACCGAATAGTATCAGTATGTAATTATATAAACGGTAAATCTTGCAATATAATATTAAGTAG